TTCACCTTCAGATTCTCAAGTTTGGAAACAGAATCATTAAATGACTCCTGCCCAGTGTCTGCTGGTGACTTACAAGTTGGGGACATCTCTACATTAATGCCTCATTTCTCCTGTGATAAGAGATCTCAGAGACCTTCCTCATTTGCACAGAACCTCAGATATTCCCTTAAACTGACAAGATGGCTCGGTGGGCAAAGGCACTTGCCACCAAGCTCAAGATCAAAGACCTGAGCTCAATCCCTGGGACCCACATAGGTGAAAAGGAGCATGAACTCCTGTAAATTGCCCCTCTGACCTCCACATACAGGGGTGGGGTGTCTTAAAAACAGCATGTGTTCTCACAATTCCGGTAATATAGGAAAACTGTAACATTGAAGTACAATCTTACCCAGAGAGACTGGTATGCACATTTATGATCATCAGTTAAATCAGGCTAACATCGGGGAGTGTGTGGTGTCTTGGTGCCTCATTAGGATTCATTCTAGGATGGAGTGACTGTCATCTGCAGACATTCCTTTTATTCACCAACTTTGAAAATGCCATGGCCGGTTGCCTGCCATTCCTCGGGCCTCCTCTTTGACCTCTCTGCCTGCCTCAACTAAAGGCAACTTTCAAAATGGAGGAGCCTCTGGTCCCAGGTGGAGCGGCCCAGTGCAGGAGAACACAGGTGCACTCAAGCTCCTACCTTCAGCCCTGCACCCCCACGTCAGCTGAGAGTGTGTGTTGTTCTTTTGGTCTTGCTAATCCACAACTTCCCAGGGCAAGAACACTAGAGATAGAGGTTTATGGCCCCCACCTTTAGGCAGCCCACATCTAAGACTTGTCAACAGAAGTTCAAGGCCATCCTCAGCTACATAGTGACCTCAAGTCCATCCTGAGATACATGAGACCCTGTCTCAAGTAATGGAAAAGAAAGGTTGATATACATTTAGTTAAAATGAAAATCACAACTGAACTTACAAGTCAAACTGATTTGGATTCAAATCCTAGATTCATAACTTCCCAGTTGTATGACTTCTGGTTAAGTTCTTTGGCTTCTCTTAGTTCTTATTCCAAATGGGGATGCTTGACTCTCTGGGTCATGGCACAGACTGGGATGATTAGGTGTCAGGTAGCTGAAAAATTGAAGTTTTTTTCTCCCAAGTGAGATTCAACACACCACTTCTGCTCCCCTGGGCCCAATGTTGTTTTGTTCTCATGTTTATATTTTTCATGGTTGTCTCCTTTGGACAAAATGCCCTGTCACCAAGACTCAGGTATTAGATTATGTTGTTGTGGTGATGTGGGTTAAGCTCCCAGGGGGAGCACGGCTTCTCCTACGTGCCATCTGGAGCCTCATAGAAATACTTCACTTCCTATTTACAAATTTTATTTGATTGAGAAGTGCCCTGTTTCCAGGCCAACCTATGGTAGACAATGCCAGTGTTTGTTCTGGTCTTAGAAATTTGCTATAGCCAGGTCTGAACCATTCTGTGGCCATTCTGTTCTCAGCAGTGGCTTAATTCTCCATGTGTGTAGTCATGCTATTGTGATGGTCTGTGGATTGATCGGAATCATATTCCTGAACAATTAAAAGCCTCCTCAGATGGCTTTAGTAGCAGCAGGTTTCTGAAGCCTGGTGTGGTTTTAGACCAGGCAGTACTGGGTTCCTTTGTCCCAGTGCCCATCCTGCTTTCACAGTTCCAACTTGCAAAGGACATGTACAGCACCAACTCCTCGACCTTATGTTGCCCTTGGAGCAATGTTTACAGAAAAGCAAGTTACAGTGATCTGATAGTCTGGGTCACTTACCTGTATGGTTTTTCCTGCCCTTTTGTTTAATGTGCAGCTATGCCTTCTGTTAGAGACTTTCAAAACTCTTTTTCTCTTGCCTGGAAAGGCATTACTTAGCAAAACTTTCTACCCCACAGTGCATCATAATCCCCTTTGAATGATGTCAAGAGGTCAAGTATCACAGCTCTGCTGTCTTTGTAGCATACCCCACAGGGAGGTGACTCAAATACTTGCTGCCCTCAGAGGAGGACTGCTTTGAGGAACAAGGACGCCTCTGCCCACTGCTGCCCAAGCCGGTAATGCCAGCAAGGCTACGCGACTTGTGCCTCTCTACCCTCTCAGTGGCTGTATTACTAAATAGGGGGTTGCTTTTTGGTATTTTTTTTTTCTTCTTCAAGAAACAGGGTTTCTCTGTATAGTCCCAGCTCCTACCTGCCCTAGAACTCACTCTGTAGAGCAGAACTCATAATGGAGAACATATCCCAGGGGTAACCTCTATGCCTAGTGAGCTCCCTCACAATTCTAGCACCTTCTAACACATGAACCCTTTGATGACCAGCTACATCCAAACATGTTCTCCTCTATGAGTCTTTCCTCAGAGTTCAGCTAGTGTTAGTGCCACACTTGAACAGCCACAAATGTTAGATACGCCAATTTATTTTCTTTATATAATTGCCTAGCCTCAGCAATGCTGTTACTGTAATGAAAACACTATTTGTTGAGATTTCTAAATCTTGGTGGATTAAACATTAGCAACAGTTTTAGGGCCCTGACTCTAATATTCTGCTCCTGCTTCTTCTCTAAACAGACTAATTGATGACATGCCATTTATTTGTTTATTACTTATTCATATATTGATTAAACCTACCAAGTAATTGTCACTAATTCCACAGTGCACTAAGGGAACCCAAGATCTGATTTGGTAATGCTATTTTCTAAGGCAAGATCATGCTATACCACAAACCTCCGGCATCGTTTCCCAAGCACTGGTATTATACCACCAGGCCCAGACAACATTATTTTTTTTTTTTTTTTAACTTTTGTGTGCGTGATAGAAGTCAATGCTGGTTTTAAAATCACTTTTAAACCAATTCCTCAGAAAGCCTGTCTCTATTAGGAAAAACTGCTCAAGTGTCTGACACTGGAAAAAACACCCAGGACTTCTGAAGCAATCTTATCTACCCCTACAGCCTTGGGTTGGGGGAAAATAATAAAGTATAAAGCAGGAGTACTGTAGTACATGAGTTACAGTCTGTTCCACTAATCGGGCAAAGGCCTAAAGATTTAAATAAAAGACAAGACAGCGGGTCATTCATGCAACAGAAATGCCCAGATGCCATTTATTGAGGGGAAGGAGCCGGCTTATATACTGACTCACAGCACAGTGGAAAACAATCAAGGGTCAAGTGTGCAAGTTCTCAGGCTTAGTTCCTCCCCAGCAAATGTGTATTAGCAAATTAGGAAGAGTACCAAGAACTACTCTGGTGCAAGATGTTCCCGCCAACAGCTTCAGGCTTGCTCAAGGTGCCTCAGGGGTCCATGCAGGGCCCTACAGGATGCAGTTGCAGGACTAAGAGCAAACGTGGGTCCCATTTTAAATGGAGTGATGAGAACAGACCAGCATGCATGAGCCCTGGGCTCAGTTTCTAGCACTAAATAAGTAAGTGAGGTGATGGGTGGGCCTCACCAGGCAACCCCAAGGAACCCTGAATATTGGAATTGAGATGACTGTGGCAATATAGACGTTGTCTCATGACACTGTCAAAGGAAAACAAAAGACTATTCAAGAGAATAGATGATGAAGCTTCAAACATATAAATATACTCATACATGCATTTATAGAACACAAAAATAGGTGTAATTGTGGATACCTTAAATATCATAGCATTATTTTTCTGAGAATATTATGCTTTTAATTAAATATTAAAATAATATTAAATTAATTAATTTAATTAATAAAAATTAATATTAAAAAGTGTTTTATGGCCAGGCATTGGTGGCACATGCCTTTAATCCCAGCACTGGGGAGGCAGAGGCAGGCAGATCTCTGTGAGTTTGAGGCCAGCCTGGTCTACAGAGCTAGTTCCAGGACAGACTCCAAAGCTACAGAGAAACCCTGTCTCCCAAAAAAAAAAAAAAAAAAAAAAAAAAATTAAAAATTTTTAAAGAAAAATCTTAAAAAATATAAATAAGTAAAAGAGGCCATATGCCTTAAGGTGGCTAAGGATAAAGAGAAAGATGAAAACGTGGTCACAGTCTCAGGATTTCCTTCATAGGTCCCCACAGCCTTGCTCACACCGTAGCTGAGACACGCCATCAGCACAGGTAGCCAGCGGTGGGGGAGTGCATGAAGAAATGTGGACATGAACATGACATAAAGACGTGCAGAACCACACACAGCAAAACGGATAGAACTGGATGGGGGGCATGAAGTGAGCCCAGCCAGACACAGGGAGATAAGAGCGAACGTCCCTCTTAAAGAACCAAAGTTGGCCTGAAAGTAGAATAGAGATTGGGGGTGGGGTGGGGGGATGGAAAGAGTGAGGGCTAGATGTGATCAGCACACGCTGTATGCATATATGGAAAAGGCACATTGAACCTCATTAATATGTGCAGTTAGCATATATTAATTAAAAACTTTAAAGTAGGTCTCTTGGAAAAAGATACTGTGCAGTAAACAGGCTTCTTGGGACATATCACCGACCACTCTAATTATTACCATGTAATGCTATTGAGAAATTTCAAGTTGATTTGAAAAATCCACTGAAAGGTAAGAGAGAGCTGGCAGGAGCCTGAGGGTGAGTTAAACTTGACTATAAAAGGAAAAGGAAAGGCGGGGCCTCACGGACACTTTCCCCAACCCGTTCTTCCGTTCTTCCTCGTGATTATTTCTCTTTCCTCCTGGCGCCTTTTGAGTAGTCCCAGCTTTGTTTTGGCTGAGGTCTCTTGGTGCTCCGGGATGCTTTGGTATAACTCAGGTATTAAGATGGATGATTCTTGAGTCTGAGGATTCTAGCCCTGGCTCCCTTGTAACTTGCACAAGTTACTTCACATCCGAGTATAAGTTTTCTTGTGAGGAAAATAGTTACAGTCCTTTGCAGACCTTCCTCGAGGACACCACTAGTTAAAGCACATTACCTGGTACATATTACACAGACTCACAAATAAAATCATATCTCTCATTTCTCAAGCATGCCTTTAAGTCACAGGGCAATAGCTAATTCCTGGAAATGTGTGTGAACTTGCAATATGAAATTTCACTCCATAACTCTTTTCAGATTCCCATCTATCATGACAGCCATCCGACTTCGAGAATTTGTAGAGCGTCGCCCAGTGGTTCCACCCAGGTAACGTTTTCTGGAAACCACCAGGGCTGGGGAGGGTACAGACCCTGCCCTTCTCCAAACTCCATCCCAGGAGAAAGGAAGATGGAGAGAAATCAAGTCTGGGTACTGCATTCACCTCCCTTCCTCCCCTCTAGTCCTCGGTCCTTCTGTGTATGGGTGAGGTCATTTTGTCTACCATAGGCTCATGTAGGAAAAGTGGAAACAAATTTTTGTTGGTGGCTGCTCTGGGGAGCTCTTGTGACTATCTCTGTATCCTTGTCCCCCACTTCACACTGCTTTAGTTCCCTTTTCACAACTTCCAGTTTCATTTGTTTACCTTCATCTCCTAACCATCTCACCACTAGATTAATAGGTTAACAGGCAGCTCTTACTGCATGTCAGCATTAGCCTTAGTCTATGTCATTTTATTTAACCTTCACAATTGTTGTGAAGGAAGCTGAGGCATGATGTGGATAAGTGACTGTCCCAATATTTCACAAGTCACAACTAGCAGAGATGGGACTTGAACCCTTTGGTCTGGCTTCACTACGGTTTGCTCTGTTTGGGTTAGTCCCCATTCTAGCATGAAACTTTCTTGCCCATCTCTGAAAATCACTTCCATAACCTCTGCCTGATGGTGGTGACTATGACCCTCTATGCACTGTCGTTGAGTAAACTAGAACAAATGAGGAAAAGTATTTATTGGTGGTTTGGCTCTGGCCACTGACAGAACTTGGGTCTGCCCTTCTGCTGTTTGCAGACACATAGTTCCAGCTTCTCCCTGCATGCCCAGCCCTGAGGGCTAGGCCAGTGAGAGTGACTGGCAAACCTGAGTGGGTACCTAATAAAAGTTAGTAATTAAGGCTCAGGAGTAATCTTAGTGACCACATAAGAGTCTTACAAGAAAAGTTCAATTAGAGACAAGTGCTAGCCAGTGTCATCCCCAGGCTAGACTGAATGCCTAGCCTGAAAAGATTCCCCAAATGGAGGAAGGTCAGTGTGGTGTGGGAGATCAAATACACAAGGTTTGTGTCAGATTTAATTGCCGTTTTAAAAGGTCAGTTGTGAGGTTAGAGAGGAGACTCAATGGTTAGGAATACTTGGGCTTTCCCACAGGACCAGGCTTTAGTTCCCAGCATCCACAGGGCTATATCAACCTTGAAACCATCTGTAACTCCAGATCCAGGGAATCTGACGCCCTCTTCTTGTATCTGTGAGCAGTGCACGCACATGGTACACAGACATACATGCAGGCAAAAAGCGCCCACACATAAAATAAACAACATCAACAAACAACAAGGTGTTGTTCAGTGGTAGAACATGAGCTTGACATGCACAAGGCATCAGATTCAATCCCCAGCACCAAAACAAACAAACAAATATTGTGGAGGTTTGAATGAGAATGCCCCCAGAGGCTCAGATGTTTGAATGTTTCATTCCCAGTTAGTGGAACTATTTGAGAAGGATTAGGAGGTGTGGCCTTAATGGAGGAGGTATGTCACTGGGCTTTGGGGATTCAAAAGCCCATACCAGGCTCAATCTCTCTCTCTCATTGCTTGTTGCTCTCATATACTGCTTCAGTGCCCTGTCTGTCTACTTCCCATCACGATGATTACGGACTAACCCTCTGAAACTGTAAGCCAGTCCCAATTAAATGCTGCCTTTCCTAAGAGTTGCCTTGGCCATGGTGTCTGTAAGACACAGTTGGTATGATGAATGAAGTATTGCTGTGGTAGGCCTGGTCATGTTATTTGAGGGAATATGGAAGACTTTAGGACTTTGGACTAGAAAATCAGTTGAAAGCCTTAGGGGGGTGGGGCTTAGAGGGCCATCCAAGCAGGAGCATGGAAGACAATAGTGCTGAGGGTAATTTTGACTATGGAGACCCAGCTCAACAGCATTCAAAGAGGAAGAATATTAATAAGTGGCCTCAGACCATTCTTGTGATGTTTTGGCAAAGAATTTTGGCTAAATCGAGATTTGGATTAGTGATGTCGGTAGAGGAGATTTCAAGACAGCCTAGTGCTGACTGTATCATATGGTTTATTAATGATCATCTTTCTGCAGAAAAAAAAGCATAAGAGGGGCAAAGAGAAACACAAAATGTATAGTCTGAGAGAAGGAGCACTAGGGGAGCCTAGTAATGTTGGAGCCAAGTCCTGTGCCCAATGAGATAAAAAGTTTAAGGACAGGCCTAATTCAAAATGAATAGAGGAAATGGTGTCCTCAGGGTAAGGACCCACACAGTTGAGCTTCCATGTTGTAAAAAACAAAAACAACCAAAAACTGAATTAAAGAAAAACTTAAGCATCAAATGAAACCATCAACAAAGTTTACACAAATGTAATGCAAGGAGTGGGACCAGGTTCTAGCCCCAGAAAGAAGAACTTGGCAGCTTTGGCCACGTGGTTCTAGATTTAGAGTCAAGGATATAAGAAAGAGGCTGTGAACTCCTCCTTCGTGGTTAGGAAAAGCCACCAATGGCCAGGTGTGTAGCAGAGGAGTCCCTGTGTGGAAGCCCAGAGAGGCCATTGCTGGAAGCTGTGAAGGTAAAGCCTGGATCACATTAGAGACTCCAAGATGTTGTCCATGCCAGAGTGGTGGGACACCTTCCAAGAAGAAGTGCACACAGGAAGAAGGACCAGCCCAAGAAACAGAAGCTTGTTAGAGTCAACAAAACTGGAGGGGAGTGGGATACATGAATTCCATCTAAATCCTTGGACATCAGACAAGAGAAACAGAATGTGGAGTTTGCCCTGCTGGCTTTCAGTCTTGCTTCGACCCACTATTCCCTTACTATGCCCCTGCCCCACTTACTCCTTTTTGGGGTGGAATGTATACTCTGTGCCATTGCAGTTGGAAGTATATGATCTGCTTTTGATTTTACAGGGGACTACAGTTAAAGAGTTTGCCTTGAGGCTCAGAACATGCATGGACTTTGGACTTTAAAAGTGTTGAGACTGTGAAAGACTATGGGAACTTTTGAAGTTGGGCTAAATGCATTTTGCTCTATGATATGGCCACAATCCTATAGGGGCCAGGGAGTAGAATGTGGTTTGAATAAGAATGGCCCACATTGGCCAGGCAGCTGTGGCACACGCTTTTAATCCCAGCACTTGGGAGGCAGAGGCAGGTGAACGTCTGGCTTGAGGCCAGCCTGGTCTACAGAGTGCCAGGACAGAGAAACTCTTCTTCAAAAACAAAACAAAAAGGCTCCCATAGGCTCAGATGTTTGAATGCTTGACCCCCAGCTAGTGGAACTGTTTGTGGGGACTAGGAGGTGTGGCCTTGTTGGAAGAAGTCTGTCATTGGGAGTGGGCTTTAAGGTTTCAAAAGCCTATACCAGGCCCAGTCTCTCTCCGCCTCCTGCCTGTGGACCAGGATGTAAGACTCTCAGTTACTACAAGTTGCCTTGGTGATGGTATCTGGTCACAGCAATAGAACAGTGGCATGCAGACACCGCTGCAAGGTCAGCTCATTCTACCTAGAAAAACAGAAACATCTGACAAAGACATGACCTTTCAGTCTCCAGCTACATGTGTCTCATTATTCTTATTCTGTTGGTCATGAACATAGTAGCTTTCGTTCTTCTTTTACTGATGAGCAAATGGAACCTGCCCTCCCATTCTTTGAGGAGATACGGGGCCAGTACATCCTGGAAGGTGAGAGGATGCACTGGTGCATCTCCCAGCCCCATTTTTAATCTCATCTTCTGTATTAGCTCACATCCTTAGCTGAGATACTTAGCCCCAAGCTTCAGTTCAACAATGGTTAAGTGACACCACTGTTGTTAGCGTGTTGTCTAGATGTGGCTTTCCTTACCAAGAGATGAACTTTGGGTGACAGTGCAATACCCCATCAGAGCCCTGCAGACACCGCAGAGCTCCCTAACAGCTCTTTTGGTTGAACCAGCTTCCCCTGTCCCTTTTGTACATTAGCTCTGCTTGCTAACTGCCTAGAAGTGGGAGAGTCATAAGGTCCAAACAAAAATAGTGCCAAACTCCTCTGGAAAACAAAACTCACACATACATTGTAGATGGCTCTGAGTAAGACATGGAATTTAGGGACTGAGTTTGCTTCATGGCTTTAGTATTCACTGGCTGTGTGGTATTCAGAATGGCCACTTAGCCTCTCTAAGCCTCTTTTTACTGTTATAAAACAGTTATAAAAGCAAGGAGTTCCTATTCACCTCATAGGTGCCTGAGAATTAAACAGGATCATATCTTTAAGGCTGGAGGCCCAGCACAGATGACTCAGGCGGGCTCAAGATGGTATTCCTTCTGGCAATGGTACTGCCTAAACAGAAAACACTCCTGATCTCACTCATGCATATTGTATGCTGTCTATGGCTGAGCCCAGATCCTGCTCTGGTTACAGTCACCCTCCCAGGGGACAGATCCACTCTCGTATAGATTAAACCCACCTCTTCAGGCAGCCAAGCTGTCAGGGACGTGCAAATAATTCAGTGGGACCAGAAACAGCTGGCTCACCCATGCCACCTTCGGAGAGCTTTCTAAGACTGACTCAGGAATCTGTACCCTGTAAAAACAGAAGCCTGGCCTGGCACATGGCACTCACTCACATTCATTCATCCTCTCTCTCAAGCTGAACCTCCAGGAAAGAAAGCTGGGCACCTATAGCAAAGCCTCTGGCCAAGCTAGATGCATTTCTCCTTGAACTAATTAAAAACAAGCAACAACCAGCAAACATAAAAACCAACCAACAAATAAACAAAAAGCTTCACTACTTTAATGGCTGAATTAGAAGCTTTCTCAGGTTCCAGGTTAAGGTCACATACAAGAACTTAGAAAAACTCCCCAGAGTCAGGGGGAGCTGGGCAGGATGCAGAACACCTATAACCCTAGAACAGAGGCAGAAGCAGGAGGATCATGAGTTTGGGGTCAGCATGGACAGTGCAGTGAAACCCAATTTACTTTTTTGTTTTGCTTTGTTTCTTGTTTTTCAAGACAGGGTTTCTCTGTGTAACAATCCTGGCACTTGCTCTGTAGATCAGGCTGTCTCTGCCTCCCAAGTGCTAGTATTAAAGGTGTGCGCCACCAACTCCCAGCGAAACCCTATTTCAAAATAAAAATAAAAGGGGGCTATGACTCGGTGGTAGAATGTCTATTTAGTATGTGTAAAGCCCTGGGCTCAACAGACAGCACCGACAAAGTGGGAAAGGGGAGTGGGGAGCAGGATAGAAGAGGAACAGAGAAAAGACGGAAGGAAAATGAGCTGTCTTTCTACCCCAAAACCCACTTCACTCAGCCTGCTCTCCCTGCAGTGCTCACTTTCCTACCCTCTCTGCACCTCTGCCCAACCAGCCAGGGGCCTCTTCCAGGGACTGCAGTGGGTCACGCTACTGGAAACCAGGAGAGATGGTTCCATTCTCAAAGCAATGACTAGAGCGGGGTGAACTTCTTCCGTGTCTCAGCAGGCTTTGCTGGACAGAAGATACTGGAGATCAAACAGCCTGCTGCAGACAGCAGCACAACCCTAGAAACCGTGTCCAGGATGCCTGTGACTCCTCAGAAACTTGCAGCTTGGCTCTAGGGGACTCCTACAACAGAACTAGAGGCTTGCCTCAGAGACACCTCCCACTCATGCAGTAACGACATTTGTTCCCTCTTCCTGTGCCAACTTCTCTCTCCTCTTATGACTTAATCCTCAGCTGTAACTCAGGCCTTGGTCCATTATCCTAGCCACTAGACAGGCCCAGACACCCTGTGGTTATTCAGATAATTAGAGCTCTCTGAGGTCTGTTTGCACAGACAGAACTTGCCCTGCCCAGCCAGACCAACCCTGACCCCTGCAATCATTCAGATCTTAAACGGTCCCCAAAAGTCAGCATGTTGAGGGCCTGGTCTCCTGCCAGTAGTGCTAAGGAGGGAACGCGGAACTTTTAGAGGACGGCACTCCTGCAAGGATATGCTGTGTGACCAAAGCAGCAGGACCAATTAATTGGTCACAGACTGAAACCATGAGGCACACAACCTTTCTTGTTAAGCTGAGTTATCTGACAGGTGCTACAGTAATAAAACGCTAACACATCCACACGTACTCTACTCTTAACTATGACTTAGTCTTGGCTTATGTGACTTCCCTCCTCTAGAGTTACTTCTATGCAAACCCTAGATACCAGGCTCTCTGTAGTTTCCTACCAGCTCTTCCTCCAAGCCCTGTCAATAGGTTCCTTTTATATGCTAATCTTACAGCTTTCTCGGAAGGATTTTTGGATTTCACTCTCCATTCTATTCTGCCTCAATATTACCAATGACCTGAGGTCTCCCCAAAACCCCACCTCCTAAAGGTTCTTCCACTCCCCCGTAGCACCACCCTAGGGGCCAAGGCTTCAACACCACAGCATTCCAGTTGTACAAACATATCTCATGCTCACACCCCAGACACACATCTTCTCAATCCCCATGGGGATGGCTCATATTATACTTCAAAACTACAACCAAGATGGTAGCATATACTGGTAATCCCAGCACCGAGGAGCTGAAGCAGGAAGATGGTGGTAAGTTCAGGGCCACCAAGGATAAAAAGGCCTGTCTGTCCTTCCTCACAAGTCATCCCTCTGAGGTGAGGCTAGAATCCTCCTACCTAATTTACTATTACCACATGCCTTGACATCACAGTCCTATATGATCAACTATTTCAGTTAAGTGAAAAGCTTCCTATGGAATTTTATAAACATTTCAAAGGTTTAATAATAAGGAATCCTCATTTTTTTTTTATTCCTACATTTCAGCAATTGCCAACATCTATTTCGTTGACTTAAGGATCGTATTGAGTGTGTGTATGTTCCTGAGTATATATGTATGCACCACATGTGTACATGTACCCTCAGGGGTCAGGAAAGGGCATCAGATCCCCCAGAACTGGAATACGGAAGGCTGTAAGCTGTCAGATGTGGGTGCTGGCCACTGATCTGGGTCCTCTACAAGAGCAGCCAGTGTCCTTAACCACTCTTAACTATCCCTCAGCCCTGTCATTGACTTTACATACTGTCTCCTCCCTCACCCTCCTTCCCTCCCTCCCTTCCCCCTTCTGTCCCTCTTTCCCGTTCTCCCTCACCCTCTTTCTTTTCCTTACTATTTTGACCTAATACATGGCATGCTAAATATTTCCTTATGAATCGTGGAAATAAATGACATTCTATTACAGGTTTTAGAGGTTATTGGGAAAGGGAGCCCATCCAATACTACAAGCTCAGGTCTGATGAAAAGACACATTTTTTTGGTTTTGCATACATACACAATTTATTATTATTGTGTATGTATGTGCATGCTGGTGTATGTGGGCATGCATGACACACATGTGGAGATACAGGACAACTTTGTGGAGTCAGTTCTCGCCTTCCATCCTTCCATGGGTTACAGGGATTGAATACTGATTGTCAGGCTTAGAGGCAAGTGCTTTAGGGGACTGACATCTTAATGGGACCCCCCCCCTTCACATCCTTTTGATGGGTGAGCTAAAAGCACTCACTGAGAAGTTTATCCCCACAATTAGTGTAGCTCTCAGCCCTGGTCAGAGAGATGTCTTTCTGCAGTGGGTGGCAGCGAATAAGCAGAGAAGACACTTGTTATGACTACCAACCAACAGGACTGAAAAATCCCTGGGTTTCAGTTGCTTGGAACAGGGCACAAAGTCCAGATAGATTAATTACCTATCACACACCAGCTGGTACACTTCTGTAAGGGACCAACTGTAATGACTGACCGCTTCTTGACTGTTTCTTCCAGTTTATTTATCACTCACCAAGGAAGGGACATCAAAGGCTATTACCCTGGGCAACTGGCAAGACTCCATTTTGGTAACAGCGTGAAGAGGGCTCCAAGGTGAGACACACCCCTAAATTTTAATTTCCAAGAATGTCATCAAAGCTAAAATGATAAGTAGGGGAAAGTGGACCTCATAATCTTTTTGTAAAAGATTTTTTTAAAAAATTTGTGTGTGTATATGTGTATGCATGTGCGTATGAGCACAAGTGGGTATGAGTGCAAGCACCCATGCAGGTCAGAAGTGAGCTGCCCCATGTGGGTGCTGGGAACTGAACTCGGGTTCTCTGTAAGAACTCAGCTACCTCTCCAGTCTGCAGCTACAGGACCTCAACAGTAGCAATAATATGTTTATCTCAAGTGTTACCTAATGGCTAGAAGAGGGGTGGAAGGAAATATGCCAAACTATTTAAAATGTTGGGACCTCTTGGCTTGGGTTTCCTGGGAGGGCTTTGGGTGCTGAAATCAAACACAAAGCCTCAAGTGTGTTAGGTATGAGTTCCGCCAGGGAGCTACATCTCTAGCACTGACAATATCTGGCTTTGTTTCATTTTCACAAATAGTAATATTATCAGTACTCTGTATTCTTCTACCCTTTTCTCTAGTTCACAGATCTTCTCAACAGAGAATATCTATTTCCACAATCAGTAGTAAATATAGAATTTTTATTAAGACATCTATGGAATTTAAGAAACAGTATGAGTTTAGAATTCCAGATTGGCCAAATAACTTAAATTTACTGGGATTCAGTTTCATTCTCAGTAAACTTATTTGATTAACGTGGTTCCTTCCTTTCTATATATGGCATACACACACACACACACACACACACACACACACACACAGTAGCCATAGACATGCTGACCTTATTTCCTGGTCTGGAGAGGCTAGAAACTCCAGGAGGTAAAAGTGTCAATTTGAGAAACTTGATTTAGGGCAATTTGCACCTTCTCTGAGTATGTCACTCCCAAATAAGAGTTGTAAAATTCTAGGGCATATTAAGCCCTCAGCATGACTATAGTCATTTGAGTTCTTCATCTACTATTTCAATTTCCCTTCTTTTCGTTAACTTCCATCTAGTCAACCTCCAATCATCCTCATGCGGGGTGGGAGTTGGAAGGGCACCTGTATTTAGAGCAGTGCATAGTCTATATTTAAATTATGAAACTGGAAGCAGCTTTGAGGTCATCCTGATACAGTCAGGAATACAGCAGAGGAAGGGCACATCTCTGGCTCCTGCATTTATTTATTGTGGGCCTTCATTCTGTCACAATGCACATGTGCAGTCAGGGAACAATTTTCAGAACTCAGTTTTCTCCTTCCACTGTGTGGGTGCCAAGGATCAAACTCAGGTCACTAACCTTTACTAGATGAACCTTCTCAATGCCCCGAGTAACATGTCTCAACCAAAGTCCCACAATTACTGTAAATGTTAGGTTTAATTTTTAACCCATAGTTTCTGAGTTCCACTTCAAGGCTCTTAGTACTAAATCAAGTGTTTGCTTTTGTTTTTAAACCTGGGGTAAAGTTCTCATTTTGTTACCCAGGCTGATCTCAAATTCAAGCTGAGCTCAGGTGCTTTTCCACCATAGCCTTTGGAGTCACTATGCATGACTTAATAAACTTTTCTTAGAGCTAAGTCTACTACTAGAAAACAAGAAATGACAGCTGCCCACTGTCAGAGCTAGACATATATATATATATCATTATTTAATGCCTTGTTGGAGGGGATTTTTTAAAAACATTGAATATATACAAGGTGTATCTTGAGTTTACATGCCACCTTTGTGGGAGAGGCTTGTCTACCACTTCTGGTGCTCCCCTACTTTTTTCAACATGAAGGATGTTCCCATTCTTTCTATTAGCACAAAAGTCCCTTTGACAAGCATTCTTAGTCTTTGTTGACAGCTTTAATCGCTAGACTTGCTGAGACAAGGTCCCAGGTACCTGCCACCTAGTGTCCTAGTGTACTCATATCCATGCCTCAAGCCTGCCATGCCAGCGAATGGATACTGCCAGGAGTGATGAAGGTGTTGGCCATTACATTTTGATTTCTTGCTTGCTTTCATCTTTCGAGGACAGTTGGGGAGGAGCATGGGAAGGTTACAACAGTTCTACAAAACACCAAGATGCACTGGTGTTTAGTCTAGCCAAAAGACTGCACTGGATCCTAGATTGCAGCTCAAGAGAAAATGGACTGATTCTCCAAAGGTGTTCAGCAAGCTACTTTTGTTCCCATGCAGACCCCTCATAGACTTGACAATTCCACCCAAGAGCAAAACTCCATATCAGCCTCAATTGGACCAGCAAACCCTCATTAGATACATTTGTTTTGAAAGATTGTCAAGGCCTGTGCACACATGGTATAATGAAACAACTTACCAAAGAGACTACTCCCTGCCATTTTATGAAACTGGTAAGCGCTATCAACTTGCTGACAATAACCTTGCCATTATGGCAAGATTGGCATATCCTGGGGGCTTACTACTGCCTTGAAGGGCATGACTGGGACCAGTGACACTGGGGCAGAGATAGACGTGCAGATCAGGGAGCAGAAAGAAGCTAGAGGGGAATCTAGGGCTTCTTCCTTCCTTTCTAGCTCCCTGTATCTGAGACCAAAAGGGTGAAAAGTCTTTAATGTCCTAGGAAGCTGACTAAGCACTGGAAACAAAACCTTGAGTGTAACCTGGTGTTCCATTAGGGAACCTTTCTTTACATTCTAGTTTAAACGTCTATAACAATTGATCATTTATACCACAATTCAGAAATTCTAGACTCCCCTTGTAGCATGTCTGTATGCTGTGGCCTACGTGAGGATCCTGAGGCGGACAGAGGTGGTCCTGGGTATTCACACAAAACCCACTTAAACAGAACACGTCGCCATAGGCATTGGTGCTTTTGACTTTGGCTCATTGAGTGATTTGCTGAGACCTTCTAAATGAAAGATCCCCCAAATTTGTGCGGGGGTGTGGTGTGGGGTGTGGTGTGGTGTGTCTCACACTGTGGCAGGCACATATTTAGTCCTTGGTGTCTCCCTGGGGTGAGTGTTGCTATTTTAAATAGAGGAAGCCAAGTTTTCAAGACCTGTCATGAACTAACCCTAAATCACACAGCCAGGAGGAAAGGGGCAGAATTCACATCCAGACCATGTTGCTCTCCAGCATGGTTGGCCTTGAAGCTATACTGTCTCTGTCACAGCCAAGTGTCACCTGTGCTTAACTAAGTGCTTAACAGTTTTCTTTACAAAGAGTCAAGTCCCTCTCTTTTTACTGGAAAACAGGAAACTGATGACTCAAGCCTGTAATTCCAGCCTCTCTGGAGGCGGAAGCTTGAGGACTGAAAATTCAAAGCCAACCTGGGCTACAAAACAAGTTTAAAAATGACAGGGTTGGGAAGGATTTCCTCTGTCCCCAGAGAAGACAGCTGTAGTCTGGAGGGATGCCAGAGTCAGTAGGGAAGAAATGTCCATGCTGAAACCCAGGTCCTCAGAGGACAGCAGACAGCAACATCAGGGCATCAAGATAAAAATCAAATGAGTTTTTCTTAAATTTTGATATAATCTAATAATATGCCTATTAACTGGAAACTTTAAAGAACCTTTTAGTCCCCCTTTCTACATTTTATTTTAAAAGTTTTTAGTTGCATCCTTATTTGTTGTATGTGTGTTCACACACGAGCATGCAGAGATCATAGAACAACAGGTGGGATTTGGTTCTCTCTACTATCTGGAGCAAGAGGATTAAACCCCATTTGTCAGACTTGGCCGTAAGTGCCTTCCTCCACTGACCATCTCCCTGGCACCCATATTTTAATTATGCCTCTTTAAATGTCTTAAGTTACTTTATTATTGTACACAGTTGCTAAAATGATGGTGTATTAAAATTGTAGAATAAGTAGTCTCCAAAACAAATCACTAACTTTTTCTAAATTTCAGGTTTGGATCATAAATTGGGCACGATTTCATCAAATCCTAGACCACTTAATTCACTACCAGAAGTCTACTGTTGTGAGAAGAGAAACAGCTTTGCAAGAAACACTTTTTAAAATTAAATGTAAGCGTGGTATTTTAAGAAAACAATTTGGGGATTTTTTAGTGAGTAAATTAGCGGTAACAGCACTATTTTTAAGTGTGTATACAGATGGATCCTAATCCTAAACAAATTTTGTGTTGCAAACTCTCTTCAGGGAAAATTGGTCAGGAAATCAAGATCCAGCCTTGAGAACATTTGACATCTGTTGAAGGGGGCTAGCTGTGTATTACAGCACTTGTCTGCAACATCACATGAAAGGGAAAATAAAAAAATATGTTAATGTCATAACTCGTCATAAGCTTTTAGCATCTTGTTTCTGATGCCGACGAACCTCTAACCATCATACCTTCTCAGTGAGTGCTCATACATGGGATCATAGATTATACAGTAACTGTATGTGCTTATATTTATGCCATTATTACATGTACACACACACAAGTAGAGAGAGGAAGAAAGGGAGGGAGAGAACCAGATGGAACTAGCCAAGGAAGAAGAGTGGGAGACAACTGTAGGTCTGTAGGGATTTCGGACGAGTGAAGAGTGGGAATTAATGGAAACCTGTTTCAGGATTAACAACCTTCTCAACAAGAAGCCTTGATAACTAGGCATCAACTCCTCAGGAAAAGAGTTAAAGGGTCCCAAAGAAAAGAAAGGACCCCAAAGAAAGAAATCCTGCATTCTGGTTGCTCAGAGACACTCTCCATCACCCATCAGTTGGCTTCTTACTCACTGCCCCAAAGTAAAGCTAATAAAGTTTCTCCAAGAACACAGAGTTTCATATCGTTTCAGCTGCCTTAGTCTTTAACATGGTCAACTAAACATTACCAGGGCATTTGAAAACACAAGAAAGATGAAGGCCAAAATAAAACAGACTCCAGTCCAGGTGGAATGGAATTCAGGGGGTACAGGGAAAAGAAAAGGAAGCTAATGAAACAACTTGTATTGAAGAAATACAGTATTATATATAAATCGATGTTATGAATGTTATATATGCACATTATCCACAAGCTGGGAGCCCACAAAAGCCCATGAGGTTCTAGTCCCAGGCCAAAGCTCCAAGAACTTATTACTGGTGTGTTAAGTCCTGGTCTAAGTCTGAAGACCTGGAGGAGCCCAAATAAGGTACCTGCATTTCAATACTTGGTTCCCCAGTTGGTGACCCTGTTTGGATAGGTTTAAAGATCTGTGGCCTTGTGGAAGAAATATGCCACTGGGAGCGGGATTTAAGGTTCCAAAAGTCACATACCACTCCCAGTCTTGTCTCTCACGTGGTTATGGCTCAAGATGGGAGCTTTCAGCCACCATGCTTGCTTGCTTACCAGCTTCTGTGGAGGGAAGAGTCTGTCCTGCCCAGTCCTGCAGCCATTTAGTCCCAAATAAACACACAGAGGCTTATGTTAATTTTAAGCTGCTTAGCCAATGGCACAGGCTTATTTGTCTAGCTCTCTCATTTCTATTAATCTGTGTATCTCCACACAGTCTTGGCTTACCGATAATGCCTGGGCCTCTTGCTCCATCGGCAGCTACATGGCATCTCATTTGGGACTCTGTGTTACTCTTCCCAGCATTCTCCTAGTCTGGTAGCCCTGCCTATACTTCCTGCCTGGCTATATCCAGTCTGTCCATTGGGCAAAACAGCTTTATTCATCAACCAATAATAGAAATATATATTCACTGCATACAGGACATCTCCCATAAAGCTTCCCCACCAGGACTCATCCCTCTGTGTCATGTAACAGCTCATGATGGACAGCATGAGTTTCATGGTAACTTGGTAGCCTAAGGCCAAATATTCAGTCTCTATTATAGAGGCCCAGTGGCAAGCCAAGGAAAGCAGTTAGCCAAGAAAAACAGTTATTTGGAAGACGGGGTGTGGCTCCATGTTCCAAAGGCCTAGTCTGTGATTCTGGGCCTGCCAATGTCTCCAAACATCATCCCTATTTGTCACAGACAAATCCACTGGATCATGTTGCCTGATTGGTGGGGCAGCTTACAGAACAGCCTGGGCCCACTATAGTGCATTCTCTTGTCATGAGCCCAACTCAGAGCCATCAGCTTTTGATAGTATGCTGGGTCTGTGGAACTGGGGTTCCTTTATTTCAATCATTCGGGTTTGGCAAAACTAGCAGCTTGATCTAATGAGGAATAGGTTGTGTATAAATACAAAGGGGCCCAGTAGACATGATTCTGCTTGTGAACAAGGCCAGATGCAACAACCTAACCTTCCCTTTAGAAGGGCTTTCATTTTATAGTTTCATTAAAATTTTTATTGTATTTTATTATTTATTATTTTATTGTGGAACATGTATGTTGTATGCATGACATATGTGTGGAGGTCAGAGGACGACTTTGTGGAGTCAGCTCTCTCTTTCCATGTTTACATGGTTCCCAAGATTGAATTTTAGTCATTCAGCTTGCCCAACAACCTTGACACTCAGCCATCTCACCAGCCCAAAGGGTAGACCCTACACCACTGTACTCTAGGACATTTCACTGGGATAGACAGCCCCTGAAGTTTAGTTAGATTAATTACTCCCTGATATACAAATGTATTAGCCCTGAACTTCAAGTGGTTGTTACTTTTGCTTAGTGTAGGACAAACCAGCACAATCCCATGGTATAAAGGGTCAGTGTATCAGTGACCAAGATCCTTCCAAGGCAGTGGTGGTGCACACCTTTAGTCCCAGCACTCAGGAGTAGAGGCTGGTACAGAGGAAGTTCCAGGACAGCCAGGGTTACACAGAGATACACTGTCTTAGAAAAGAAAAAAAAAAAAAAAAAAAAAAAAAAAAAAAAAAAGGCAAACTGTAAACCGAAGTGGTGGAAATTGTTGGCAATCTATGTGTAAGGATTAAATACAATTTAAAGGCAAGGATTGGTTTAAAAACTTTAAAAACAATCAGACTTCATTGTCTAAGTGAACTTCTAGCTAAAAGAAACACCTAGGTGTTGAAGATACAGCTCCTAGGTGGAGATCTTGCCTAGAACGTTCATGGCCCTGGCTCCGCCCTTAGTACTGTCTGTGTGAAGCTCCTCACCCAAAGTGTGTGCTATTACTTTTCTCCTAGCTGCCCCCAGGGATCATGTGGGTTCTGGAGGAAAAGAAATGATTCCCCTTTGTGGGGACTGGCTCAGAACTGGCTGATTGCAGATCTGAGGGGGCATGGCAAAGCTTACAGAGATTGGGATCTGAGGTGGTGTGGATTAATTAGTGCGGAGTCTCATGGCTCTGAACCTGAAGCCATTCTTTCAATTCCAGAAGGAATAGAGAGGATTAAAGGCATGTACCACCACTGCTTGGCTTCAGACTTTTCTTAAGTGATTACCATAGAAAAGTACAAATTCATGTCCTAAGTCCAGATTTAAAGCAATTTAGCATCAATAATATACAAAATTTCTGGTCCTCACAGCAGCTGTCCCTGCTCTTATTGTCAATTACATTTTTATAAAACACACCCCACAATACCATAAATTGTTAAAACATTAATACCAGTTGTCAAGTTACCTTTAGTGGAGAACTTTGGGCACACTCTCATGTTTCATGGTCTCTATACTTCCTGTAGATTTATTTTCCTACTAGTTAGTTTTGTTTGTGGCATCCTTGGTATTTTAAAGGTCTGCATTAAAATAGCTTCTCAAGCCCCCCTCCCTCGGGTTCTTAAAAAAAAAAGTCACTTTTCCCATGACAATACCACATATGTTGACTATAGTAGCTTTGTAATAAGACAACTGGCAAGGTAGAACTTCTTGAGCCGCAGATGGTAGCACATACCTGAGAAGATCAGTTTAAGGTAATTCTGAGCTACCCGGTGACTTCCAGGCTAGCCAGGGCCATATAAGACCCTGTCTCAAATAAACATACACAACCTCTCACACTATCTTTTCAAAACTGTCTTATGTCTGCCCTTCTAATCCTATGGTTAATTAGATTAATACCAAATATGCATATTAACCTTCCCCTGCTCAAGTATCTTGTGCTCCTTTGGTGACTCTGGCTGCAGTCAATAGTCTACATTTTAAAATTTAGGTTTAAAGATGTGTATGCCCAGCACATGCATGTGAGTTTCCATCAAGGCCAAAAGAAAGCATCAGACTCCCAGACCTGAAATTACAAGCAGCCACAGTATGGGAAGTGAACTCCGATCCTCTGAGAAGGCAACAAGTGATCTAAACCATCCCCTAGCTTAGGTTTTCTGATTCAACAGTTCTGCCGAGGCATAGCTGTAACAGGCATTACATTCTACCTACAGGACTCTCACTCACATCAACATATTCTGGTTATTTGGCTGAGTGTCCCTCAGTCTGCTGCCAACCTCACCAGGCCCTTGCTAATTTGGTTCTATTTCTCCAACTCTACAGATTCTTTCTAGACTGCACCCTGCACATTTCCCCTCATGCTAATTCATCTGGTTAATGTTTAAGAATCTCTTAAGAGCCTTCTCTGGCCCTTGTCAGACATTTTGATTAGGTCCCATTCATTTCACCATGCTTCATTGGCGCATATAAAACCATTCATCAATGTTTAGCATGCCGCTGCTAGCATGAGTTTCAGTAAGACTGCACTTGCCTCTGCTACCACATATTCAGTACCTAGAATATGGTACATACAACCTTGCTAAGTGAAATTGTAAGTTATCAACAGTTTGAGAGACAGCTTTATTTAAGAACAGACCATCTCTCCTCATCAACTGACAGCCCACATTCAAAAATTAACTAAATTATCCAGAGAGGCTTAAAATCAGTAAATAACAGCAATTGGAGACATTTTGGGTATCGGAGGAAAAATGGCTTGTAACATGAAAAATGAAAAACTCAGAGACAGATATTGGGGTTCAAGCTGAAGGTCGGGGAAGCAAAGTATTGGTCCACTAGCTCTTACCACCACCTCAGGCTGAATGGGCTAACCCTGCTGCCTCTCCTCAGTGTGAATGGAGAATGAATGCTCCTGTCTTGATTGTGGCTGGAAAATGAATGCCTCCTACTGACTACTGAAGCTTTTATACCCCTCTAGTGCTGCAATTAAAGGCATGTGATCTGTTCCTCTTTCAGACTGATTCAATCTCATGTATCCCTGGGTGACCTTGAATTTAAAGAGATCGTCTCTTAATCCTGAATCCTAGAATTAAAGGTGTGTACCACCACCTCCTAGCGGGATTAAAGGTGTGTGCCTGACTTCTAAGACTTGTGGCTGACTTTAATTTCTGAATCCTCAGGCAAGCTTTAATAAATCATAAATATCACAATTCC